GATGTCTAATTAAATAGTCTAATAAATGTTTTGAATCCTTCAACTTAGCCTCAATTAATTAGGTTAATCCTATAGCTTGTGATATAGAGTAAGGACGTTGAATGGCAATTTAATTTCAAATTTATAGGTTATAATTGGATGTAAAACAATTTAGGTTTGCATATGGTGGTAACTCCAATACTATTCTGCCCAATTTTTCAAAAGTACTTTAGTGTTCTAAAATAGACTTGCATTGTCCTAATTCAAATAATTAAGTTATGTGATATTCATAGGTTGAGGGGTCAAAACGTAATTCAAGACCACTTGAAAAAGCATCCCAATCATTTAATTTATGGTTTTAAAACACCCCTTTACACCATCCAAGAGCATCCTCTTTCATATAAAACTCCCATTATTAAACCTTTTTCTATGGAAATGTTATACTAAGCAAAAAAATTATTCTACTAGAAATAACCACTTAAATAAATAGCTCCATCAAAAACCCCCCAACTTAATTTTAGGGATTCGAAATTAGGGGTTTAAGTTGTTGTGATTCTACAAAAAAAAATGAGGTAAATATATGGGTTTGTTAAGGGGGGTGTTGGTTAAAAGGGGTGGTTGGGGAACTTGTGAAAGATGAATGTGTAGAGTGTAATGGTGAGGGTTGAGAAAAACTAAGTGATGGTTATGGTGGTGGGTTTGCTAAGTGAATAGTAGGCTGACTCCCCTTTGTGTAGGTCAGGGAAGTGGGTAAGGTTATATGCACTAGGGAAAAGATGGTACTAACGACAATATTTTTAAATCTAGTAGGGTTTAAAGATGGGGAAGATAAGCCTGCTAAAACTTTGTTTTGAGATGAGAATGTTGTCATGGCAGAAAGTTGTTGAGTCATGAGTGATGTGAGTGCTACAAATTTGACATCCATACGCTCGTCAGTGTTGTTATCCTATTGACCCATTTGTTGAACCATGTTTTGATTGTTGGTTTCCATGATTGTTTCAAAGTTATGGTTGTGGATTAGGATGAGCTCAACAAGTTATTTATTTGTTGCTTGAATGACATTTCATTTTTTTAGGGAAATGTTTAGGGTTTATATTAAATTGAAGAATAAGATGAAAGCACCAATTATGGAAATTTCTACATTTACTACTAAATAGGATTTAACCATTAAACTAAGAAAAAAATAAGGAAATAAAATGATATTCTAAATGTTCATGATTCAAATTACACTTTAAATATCAATTCATCCTTAATGGATCTTAAACGATATTGGAAAAGTGCTACTTGGAATAATGTAAAATAACAATTACAATAATAACAATAAATAATGAAATTATTAATTTTTGACATGATCTTTCAACCAAAGAGACGTTTTCATGTTTTTTTTTTTGGGTCTGGTATTTACATTTATATGCAACCAATATTTTGTAATACCTTAGAGCTTATTTATTTTGTAAAAAAATTATTAGATATACTTTAAATTCAATTGCTGAGAAAAACTAATAGATTTGTATTATTTAAGTATGAAACACTATATATTTAGAGTTTTCCTTGTTTATTTTTTATTTTCTACAACTTACAAGTATTAAAAAATTGTCATAAAAAATAGATTAAAATGTTGGTGCCAAATAATATATTTTTAATATCTATGAGTAAATCGTGACTTATTTTTGTTAGGGGAGTTAACTAGGGAGCATTGATACATAGTGTAGGATTAGGCACCTTTGTGAGAGACACGCCACATATCCACCTAAAACCTCAAGGTGATAGTATAGTGGCTTCTCTCACTTATAAATATTCAAGTCACCATATTCCTATCCAATGTGAGACTATTTCCCCTACTTACTCGCACTTGTTTTATTATTCTAACACTCCCTCCCAAGTGTGAGTCCATAATGCTCCCCCTCAAGACAGTTGTACCACCATTTGACACCTTGCAACGAGACACTTCTTCTTGGATATTTTGATACAAGTAAGTCGGTCCCTTTCTCAGAACCAAAGGATCATGATATCATTTGTTGGAGGGAGTTACTAGGAGCATTGATACAAAGTTGAGGATTATACACCTTTTTGAAAGACAAACTACTTATCCACTTAAAACCTTAAGGTGATAGGTGAGTGGATTCTCCCACTTATAAATGTCCAAGTCACCACATTCATATCCAATGTGGGACTATTTCTCCACTTACTCACACTTACATTATTATTCTTATACTCCTCATCAAGTGTGAGTCCACAATTCTCCCCCTCATACACTTGTATTGTTGTTACCTCTTCTTGGACATTTCGATATAAGTAAGTCGGTCCCTTTCTCGAACCAGAGGCTCATGATACCATTTGTTGGAGGGAGTTACTAGGATCCTTAATACAAAGTGTAGGACTAAACACCTTTGTGAGAAATACACCATTTATCCACCTAAAACCATAAGGTGATAGGTGAGTGGGTTCTCCCATTTATAAATATTCAAGTCACCATATTCCTATCCAATGTGGAACCATTTCTCCACTTACTCACACTTGCATTATTATTCTAATAGTTTTAAGATTTGATATTCTTCATGTTAAACAATTAGTCTATATTACACCTACTTCTTTCAAAAGGCACGTGTATTCTTTAATTCACGAGTTTATAATTATTAAATATTTTGACATCAAATGTCAACCTCCTTCCGCATCTAGAATCATACAAGTTAATTGATATTTTCTTAGTCAGAATTGGATTAAGTGCAACACGGATGGAGCTTCAAGAGAAAATCATAGAATATCAACTTGTGGTGACATATTTAGCTATAATATTGGAGTTTTCACCTCCTTTCAAGATGAATTGCATGGAATAATGCTTGGTATCGATTATGCTAACAGGAAAAATTTGAGAAAATCTTTAACTTGAAACTGACTCAATATTGCTCATTCATGTATTTTCTAACTTGAATATTGTCCTTTGACATATTTTAATTAAAAGGAAGAATACTTTACACATTATACGCTCCTTTAGATTCAAGATTCTCTCATATTCAAAGAGAAAAGTGTATGTTCAAATAGATTAAATAATGTAATTTTTTGTTGATTATGACACACTTGGTGAGATTCACTTCCTATTTGTGTTTTTGATTTTTTTTTTCTTTGAGAGATATGTTGTGTTTTCATCCTTTTTGAAAAAACAATTTTGGTCTTTTTAATGGATTAGATTTTATGCCCTTTCAACCTTTTTGTTTTTCTTTTTTACTCAATAGATTATCATTATTAAAACAAATTTCGGCTAATTAAATATTTAATGAAATTGTGTGTGTGTTTATTTTGCTAAAAAATAAAGAATCGGACATAACAATTTTTGTGTATTATATTTAATGTAAAAAAACTAATCATAAGACTAGAGATGCTAGATGATTCTTGTTGTCACTCTCATGAAATAACTTTTTATCTCAAATAAAAACTATTATTTTCTTAAAAAAATTAACTTAAAATTTGTTCATATATATATAAGAGAGCTAGAAGTAGAAGCAGTTGGTGAACTGAGGATCTTGAACCGGCGATGTTGATTTCTGATACGGTGGTGTGGGATGGACCTGCAAGGTTAGCACTCCAACGTCCAAGTTAGTTAAAGATTCAAGAAGAGTATAGTGAAAAGTAGAGATCCGAGAATGTACCTTACTTTCTGCGTGTACTGACTTTTATACTTGGGGTCAAGTGAAGTGGATTTAAATTGAAGTGCGCCAGTAATTTGGGCCTTTGGTTGATCTGGAACAACTTCTCCCAAGGCTTTGTCAGGAACTGAGAGAGATAGGGAATCCTTAAGTAATTTTGGTCGGCCTCGGAGGATGTAATCCGCTATAAGCTAAAAGTGAAAGGCTTGGAGCCAATTGAAACTTTCATGGGGACAGAAGCATTAAAGGCTTCCTTATCACCAAAAATTTTTACCATCTACTCCCTGCATGTCACCCTAGGTATAAAAGTCGCGAAATGATTCCCCTACTTAGGGTACTTGAGTATTTTCGACTTTTTGTTTTGCTTGATGGGTCAGTGTATTCACGGCCTTTGGATTTGTACCTTATCTTTGATTTGGCCCATTCATTTTTTATCGATTCCGTTATAAGAAATGGGTTTATTCCCTAGAGTTTCTTTTTGCTCTCCTAATATCCTTCAAATATCCCTAATTATGGGCTTTAGCTATTGACTCTCTTGCTTTAGCTTTAGATCTTCTAGCGCTTCCCTTCCTCTTTCTATGTACATCACTGCCCTCATTATCTGTGGAAATAGGATTTTCTCTATTCAATGTCTCGGGCCAACCCTTTTAATCAAAGAATTGTTGTTGGTAATCTATTTAATTTGTTGTTAATGAATATATATGATTCGATCATTCTAATGGTGGTGACAGTCGTAGAATATTAATTTTGGATAGCTTTAGAATATTTGGGAATGCCTTCCAGTTATACCAAAGAGGCTAATGAGGAGGAAATTACCTTTTAAGTGGAGTCTAATACGAGTTAGAAATATCAACAATCCTAGTAGGAAATAGGGTGTGCCATGAGTTTTAGTGGTGTTATATTCTCTTCTTTGACTGCATCTTTGAGAAGTTGGGCGTCCAACTTACTTTGACTACCTTTTAAAAGGAGTTGTTGGACCATCTTCGCATTCCTCCTTCGCAGATTCACACTTGCACTTGGGGTTTTGTGATGGTTTTCCAATATTGATATGAATATTATGGAAACTTGGATTTGGTTTCCACGAACCTCTTCTTTTCACCTTTTTAATTTTAATCATATTTCCGAGGGGGTGACGGATCATAACTTGTTTCTCCTCGTTGTTCTAAAAAAAAAATCTTTCGTGTCTATACGGTGAGTTGGAAGAATTTCAAGGAGGGTTACTTCTTTGTTACCCCATTATGTGTTATTTCGGATCCTTTTGCAGAGGCTACCGTCTATGCCAGACAGAGGAGACGATTTGGATCCCTTGACCATTTCATCAAGAAGGCTAAAGATTATTTTGTTTTTTAGAAAGATCTTACCGACACAGAGAAGGAAATGAAAGAGACTCTGCTTTTCTTCTCTAATTCTGAGATACATTGTCAGGTTATTGCTAAGACAGAATTTGCTGACGAGAGGAAGAATATTTTTGGTATCCTTTTTATCCCCACTTTTTTCCTGTGAACTCATACTATTTCCTTTCTTATCAATATAAATTTTTTTTTTAGATTCCCTAAAGATCAAGGATATCTATGTTGCATGTATCGTGCCTACACAAGATGCCAGGGCTTACTTAGTTGTGTCGATGCCCTCAGAGGGTCAGAGTAAAAAGAACCATCCCGACCTGCCCTGATTGGAGCTAAAAAGGACTGGCAAAGAAGTAGAGACAACCTATGTTTTTCCCCTTACAATACATTTAGGGAACACCCATCTTTCATTTCCCCTGTGTTGAATTTCCGCTTGCTCATGCCACGGTAGAGATGATGGATTATGTGTCTTCTGATGATTATACCCACATCAGTTAGCTCCTTAAGGTCGGAAAACCTTGCATGTTGGTAGAGTCGGCATGCCAAGTGTTTCGGGCGGCTCCACTCTTGAATTAGCTTTCTTCCGGCCATGAGGAACTTCTATTTCCTAACACCTCTTCTCAATTGGTTGAGGATTTGATGGCTCGCTATATTGTGGGTGAGGAGAAAGTTGCTAGTTTTGAAATGGACTATTATGGGCTTCATAACTCTCTGGATGAAGCTTCATATTTCTTGAAGGAAGTGAAATTGTATGGATCAATGCAACCTTTATTGATCGCATAACGAATCTTGAAAGGTTGTTCGGAGGGGAGAAGTATGGCACTCATAAGGTAGAATTGGAGTTAGAGACTTCATCTTTTGTTGCCCGAGATGTCAAGGTGGATATTGAACATAAGAGGACCATACAATCCAAGGAGCTAGGGGTCCTCTAAGAGGAGCTGACCACTTTAAACAAAAAGCTGTGAGATCTCTCAACTGATGATTTGAAAGAAGCTGCCTTTCACAATGTCTTGCACCAATTAGAGTCCCTCGTGCTTGACCTCTGAGCTTTTCATGACTCCTTTTCTCTTGTTTGGTCATAGTCTAATGTAACTTGTTATTTAATGTATTAAATTATACTTACCGTAATGTTCGATAAGTTTAGTGTTCATTATTTCATTCTTTGTTCATGTAATGTCTTTAGCAATTGTTGTTTTAGCATCTTATATGTGTGATGTGTTTAGCATCTGGTGTATTAGTGGGTTGTTTGTATGTTGTGTTTAGTATCATGTGTATTAGTGTGTTATTTGTATGTTATATTTAGCATGTTCTATATTAGAGTATTTCTTTTGTTTCCTGGGTTAGGGCTTGGAATCTGAGAGGTCATTGATACATGGTCATATCTTTTTATTGCACTCCCCATCCCAGAGGACAATTTCCGGGCCAATGGTAAGATCCATGTCCCTGTCTCCGAGGTATGACTCAGATTATGGCGAATATGTTTAGGCTCCATCGTCTAACGCCCTTGGAGTGGCTAGATCTGTGTGGGTTTTCCAGCTACATGGAAATGTGTGTAATCTTTGTCTTCCCCATGTTTAGAGTCTTAAAAGAGGAAATGACCGAAAAACAAATGGTGGAAAAATGGAAGAAAATAATTTGCATTCAGCTTGCTTGCTTGACGGGACACTAGTGAAGGTACTTATCATTCTCTTTTCTTCCAAATGGTTGATTTCTTTTCTGATGGCCTTTCCTTTACCTTCTACTAGCAACGAGTTAGTCATCCTTTAGCTAAGTTCTTCAATTTCTATTGGAATAACCACTTCTATGCCGTATATGAGTTGGAACAGGGTTTCCCCTATAGTCGGATTTTGGAGCATTATGATAGGCCCACAGAACATGAGGTAGTTCATCGGCCCAATTACCTTTGGCTTCCTCTAGTCCTCACTTCAAGCCTCTTACTATCACCCGATTGACCGTTTCTGCCTGGCCGTGTTCAATGAGAATATGGACTAGTAATAATCTAGAGGGGGTTGAATAGGCCTCCCAAACTTAAAATTCGTTTGAAAAGTTTTTATCATAGTTTCAAAAACAAAATGATGTGCATGGTGGAAGCAAAATTTGCGTAAAATAGAATATGCTTATATTGAGAGATTCATAAATGTTCTTAATGAGTTTACAATATATCCAATTGAACTGTTAAATTTCAAAACTTACAAACTAATCTAATTGTAAAATCTTTGAATTCCACAAGATGTGTTATCGAATGATTTTCAATTATCAATAAAAACTACCTAATCATGCGATCAAATACAAAATTAAATGAGTGATATATATATATATATATATATATATATATATATATATATATATATATATATATATATATATATATATATATATATATATATATATATATATATATATATATATATATATATATATATATATATATATATATATATATATATATATATATATATATATATATATATATATATATATATATATATATATAGAGAGAGAGAGAGAGAGAGAGAATTTACACTGATATTTATAGAGGTTTTCCATGTTCGTCCTCACTTTGTGCTTAATCCAAAAAGAATGAGATAGAAGATGAAATAAATTGATTGCAAGTTGATCAAAAAAGATTTAAAACTCTTTTGAAAATGTAAGAACAAGTGTTTTGTGAGTTTTCAAATCATCGATGAAAGAATGTGTTTTCTAACATTATGAAAGGTCGAGAGATGAAAATTATTTATATGTGTGGAATATGAAGCACAAAAGTTAGTGAAAAAATCAAGTTTGATTCGAGTCGAGAGCATTTGGTGATTTGAGTCAAGTTAGGAAAGTGGTGTGGAACAAGATCTACACTTAAAGAGGGACCCAATTTTTTGTTATTAGAGTCAAGGCTAATGCATGATTCAACTCACCCAGGTCATGATTCGAGTCATAACATATTCATGATTCGACTCAAACTTGCCAATGGCTGAAGAAGGGTCTGAGTTCGACTCATGCACAACATGTGATTCGACTCACGGTGTGTATGACTCGAATAAAAGAAATTTGTGATTTAACTCAGAAGCTGCAATAAAAATATTATCCCTTTCTTCCTTGTTTGATTCGACTTAGAGGAATGTATGATTCGAATCACACTTCCAAAATCTCAAAATCTCAAGTTTTCAAAGATGTTTCGAGATTCTACTTTTGGCATGACTTTAACCATTCTCAATTATAGTTCTTGTTCAAAAAAACTCGACTAATTAACTTAAAACATAATGTTCATACTCAAACATAAATACTTTATATTATGCATGCTAAAACACGGATCAAAATCTCGATCCTTAAAGATGCGCAAATAAAGAGGAGACTCTAATATAAAACTAAACTCAAAGTAAATCTTAAGGGACAAACAACAAAACCACATAGAGTTCTCCCCCTTAATGTATTAGAGACATGCAACTTCAAAATGTTCATTTATGGATACTCCACTGACGCAAAGTGTTTCTTGATCTTCAACTCTTACAAAAGGCTTCTCAACCTTTTAACGATGAACTATGTCTCGATGTCTATCACAATGGCTTGAGGCACTCAGAACCTAGATAACATGTTACTTTTGAAGAACTTTAAGACTTTTATTACAGTGATATTATTAAACGCCTCGACCTTGATCCACTTTGTGAAATAATCCACAGCCTACGATAAGGTACTTGAGTTTCCCTGCCTCCAGGCGAATGGGCTGAGGATGTCCATTCTCCATTGTAAGAATGACCATGGTGACGTATGCATGTGTAACTAGGTGGCTGGGGAATTGAAAACATCTACATGCCTCTAGCATTGGTCTTACTTTTTCACATGTTCCTATATATCCTAGACCATGATCCATGTGATTATTGCTTCTTACTTGACTTGGTTGTTGATGGTTGGGAACTCAAACCTCAAAGAAACTTCTACCACCAACCCATAACTATTTTTCTAGAATTATGAATGCACCACTTCCCCGGCTTTTAGACGATCCATCCGTAAATACCACTCGCATGCGATCTTGCTCTGAAGGTACCGGGGTCATTTCGGCCAAGAAATCAACAAACACTTGGGCCTTCAATGACTTCCTTTCTTTGAAAGAAACTTCTAACTTAGACAATTCTATGGCCTATTTCAGCAAATACTCGACTAGGTCTAGTTGGTATAACACCTACTTCAGGGGTAAATATGTTCATACAACTAAGGAATGTGTGAGGAAATACCTTATGAGATTTTGTGATGTTGTCCCCAATGCAAAGGCTGCTTTTTCAATCTTCTTATCGCATTTATGCCCCTTCTAGGGCCTTTGCACGGAGTACACCAGGCTCTGAATGACTTATAACTTTCTATTTAGGACGACACTCATGGATTCTTCACTGACGACTAGATATAGATATAATTCTCCCCTAGAAGTGGCTTACTAAGCACCATGGGCATAGCCAGAGTTTTCTTCAGAGATTCAAATTAATCTTCACACTTCATCATCCACTTAAAATTATCCTTCTTTCTCAACAATCTGTAGAAAGATAAAGCTTGTTGGGCAGATTTTGAAATGAGTGTGTTCAAGGAAGACAACATACCATTTAACTTTTAGACCTCTTTTATCTTTGTCGGTTAATTCATTTGGATAACTTCTTCACACTTTTTAAGACTCGCTTCAATTCCTCGCTCGGTTAGGTAGAAGCCTGAGAATTTTTTTGTGTTTACCCCAAAAGTGCACTTTTTGGGTTGAGTCTTATATTATCCTGTCAGACCCTCTTGAACACCCGTTCGAAATGTTGTGCGTGAAGTTCGTTCTTTAAGGTGGCGTGGGGTGAACCTACAAAATTAACACTACAACGCTCAAGTCAGTTCAAGATTCAAGAAGAGTATAGTTAAAATGGGAGATTGGAAAATATATTTTTTTGTACTTTTTTATTTATACTTATTTTTGTTTATGACCTATTACCTTGGTTGAGTTGGCAACCAAGGGTAAAAGTATTCAAGGAACAAGCCTTTTAAATTTAGCAACTGCACTTTAGTACCTTTTATTTTGTTTTTGTTTTTATTTTATGACCTATTACCTAGATTGAGGTGGAAAATGTGGGGAAAAGTATTCATAGGGCACGCCTTTGAGTCTCAACAACTGCATTTTAGCACCTTTTAATTTTTTTTTAGTTTTTGTTTATGACCTATTTAATATCTTGGTTAGGCTGACAATCGAGGGGGAAATATTGATCAATCATCCTTATTTATGAAACATTAGTGATCCACGTTAAACTCTCACCAGCCAATCAGAATGTGAATGTCACATTTATCCCTCTTGGATGCAAAGTGCTTAAATGCAAACTTAATATAATGAAAACAATATTAATGAAAGCAGTTTGTAAGTTTGTATGAAGTACAACACCATTCTCTAAGATGGATTGCAAAAGTAAAAAAATGTTTCAAGATTGATTCCTTAATGTGATGTCTTCTCTTGTAATTTCTTATTTAAAATGTTTAATGTTAGTTAGGAAAACATGAATGTAACTTATCAATGCTAATTGTTGTTTTTGTGTCAAGTAAAATATTTAATATTGCTATTGTGATTTAATGTTTAACGATTATATTGATTTTGTTTATTTTTTTGTTATTGTTGTTGTTATTGAGATTTAATGTATAATGATTCTATTGATTTTTTTTTGTTGTAGTTATTGTTGAGATTTGATGTTTAAATATTCTATTTTTATTGTTGTTGATGATGGAGAAAATTCAAGATTTACCAACAAATTTAATATTTTGTAGATTAAAACAAAACAAAAATTATCTAACGAGAGTATTTCACATCGAGTAATAATTGCAATTGAGAGGAAAAATGACATATTTTGAAAATCAAATTCACTCTATGTGGCACATATATTTACCCAAAAAAAATTCTACTAAAAATAATCAAACTAATTAAGTTCATAAC